AACACTCTTTTCTCAAAGAGAAATACAAATTTGCAAACTTACAAGAAAAACCTCACAAGGCAAATATGTTTGCACAATTCTAGAACAAAGAAAGAACACCAAACCGGCGTTTCCAAAGCCTCGCACAGTTTTCACTTCAAAATTGATCTTCAGCGGGTCCAAGGTAACAGACATGGCGGAGAAGGTAAAGGACTCACTATCCTCTATAATTTTTATTCTTGAATTATTGGAGTATCTGTCGGAGATAAATGTATTTAGTTTCTGTTTGTTAGTTTCAGTTAGTTAATTTGTTAGATTAATTAGTTTTGCTTAACGTTATAGACTCTTGGTAGAATGAATAAACGGGCTGAAATATTTTCTCATTCGGCTACTTTCAACATGGTATCAAAGGTTCTTTAACTCGGTTTGGGCCTTTCTTTGCTTTCCTTTTGGGTTGTTTTTTCTTTCCCTTTCTCGTTGGTTAGGGTTCTCTCCTCTTCTCAATTTTCTCCTAATTTTCTCTCTCGATGCATTCATCTACTATTGCTGCATCGCCTGGTCTTTCGGCCGATGGTGTTGATTTCCACCATCCTCTGTTCTTGCATCCGTCTGATACGCCGGGAACGTTGCTTGTTTCTCATCAATTGACGGGGATAGAGACCTATAGTGTTTGGAGCCGCTCTATGAAGATTGCTTTGATGGCCAAGAATAAGCTTGGTTTGATCGATGGTTCATGTCGCCGGAGTGATTTAGGTGATCATCTCCAGTGACAATGGGATTGGTGTAGTGCCATTGTGCTTTCTTGGATCTTTAACACGGTTAGTATGGAGCTTGTGTTCGCCTCTAGTGCTGCTCTCGTCTAGCAAGATTTGCAGGAGCGATTCGATAAAATTGATGGTTTCAGGATTTTTTTCTTTATCGGGAGATAGCTACGCTTTTACAGGGAGAGTTTACTGTTTCGAGGTATTATACTTTTCTAAAAAACTTGTGGGACGAGTATGATGCCCTTGTGCCTTTCAGTTCTTGTGAGTGTGCTATTTCGCAACAAAATCTTCAGCGTTCAGTTCAACAACGTCCCTTCCAGTTCTTCATGGGCTTAAACGATACTTATGTCGTTGTTCGGAGTCAAATCTTGCTTTCTCAGCCTCTTCCTACTGTCAACAAGGCGTACTCTATGCTCGTTCAAGAATAATCCCAGTGGATTCTTACATCTCCTAGCTCGTCAAGTGACTCTTCTGTGTTCTTTTCTAACTCGGTTACTGGTTCTACTCGGCATCGTTTTTCGGGGATTTGTGATCACTGCAAGATTAAGGGTCACAAGAAAGAAAGTTGCTATAGGCAAATTGGGTTTCCCCCTGACTTCAAGATTTCGAAAGGAAAAGGGCCTCAAATTGCTAATGTTAGGCATCATGCGTCTGTCGAGGAGGGGTCTAAGGTGCCAGCTGTGTCGACACCCGGTCAGTTTGCTCCTACTTGTACCAAGGATCAGTACGATCATATTTTGCTACTGTTGAATAAGGCTACAGCGATTGAGACGACTGTTAATCTGGCAGGTATTGTTGCTAGTTGTACCTTAGATGTTTCTTTTAACTGGATTATAGACACTGGTGCAACTGATCATGTTTCTTGTGATTCTAAGAGCCTTCATCCTCTAGTTCCTTGCTTGTCTCCTCGTGTTGTTCACCTTCCTGATGGTACCATTACCATTGCTCCTGTTTTTCATCTTGGTTCTTTCTGTTTGACCCCTCAGAACACTATTCATAATATCCTTTTTGTTCCAAATTTTAATAACAATTTGTTTTCTGTTTCTAAAATCACTCGTGAGTTGAACTGTTCTGTCACCTTTTACCCAGACTTTTGTATTTTTCAGGATCTCTTAAATGGCAGGATGAAGGGGATTGGTAGACAATTCAATGAGTTGTATTTTTTAGTCTTTGGTATGGGGTCTGTTTCATGTACTGCTTCCTTTTCTGATTGTCCTTTGGTTAATAATTCTTTACCTCCTGTTGTACATTTGGTTAGTAGAAAGTGTAATTCTTCTTTGAATAATAAAACGGGCACGCTATTTTGACCAAAATGAACAAAATTACTAGTTTACCAGTTAATCACCTTGATCACGACACCATTCATACTTGCACCATTTGTCCTTTGGCTAAACAGACTCGCCTTTCTTTTCCCACCAGTACTTCTCGTTCCAGTTTACCATTCGACCCAATTCATATAGACCTATGGGGACCATATCGTATTTCTACTCACGGTGGCCAATCTCTGCATCCATAGCTCATGTAATATGAAGAAAGATAAAAATAATGGGAATGGGAAGAGAATGTAGATCACTGAGGGAAACTAGTAAATCAATTTTCTTTGAGAGCTTCTCTCCACATTTTTAATTTAAGTTTTAAAACTGTGAATAAAAGTACCATTGAATCAAAACCAAACAATCTTCATGTAATGATTTTTCTACCTGTTAAATCTAAGATTCAACAAAAGCCAAAATTAAGCCAACCCTTCTAGTCATGAGAAAGCACTTCCAAGGCACCTCTTTTTCGTCTCAGATTCCTTAACTTCCTCCTCGATCTCTTCTCCACCTTCTTGGCAGATTTCTGATTCACCGCTTTCAGTTCTTTTCCTCTGAGGAATTACTTGAAAGAAGGAATCTTTCCAGTCCTTGGTCTCCAGGAACTTGAGGATCTCTATATCTTGGTTCACAGTAAGGACCTGCACTCATAGGAATGAAATGCTAATTAGAGAAGAAACGCTTAGAATAAAAATTTGCTTCTTTGATAGAAAATTAGTCTGATAAATGAGCTATCAGCTAACTACCAAGCATGACCATCCTCAGAAAAAATATTCCACACCCTAATCATTCTTTGAAAGAAAGTGGCACAGTGATAAGAGCACTTCGCATAGCAGGATTAATCCTCAATACATTCCAGGCTTGCCTTCTCAGGTTAATGTATAATTGCTTCAAAATAAAGAGGTTAAAAAAATATTCAAGACCCTCTTTGCAGTGCAGTTGTTATATGTGATGAAAGAAAGTAAAGCATAACTGCGAACTGGACATCTTCATATAATCTCCAATTGGGAGTTTTTCCGTATGAATTGCCTGTTCCTCCGCTTTCTTCATGGTTATACCTTTCCATCGATTTCTGTCCACCAACCCGCCAACAATATAAACTTTAGTGGGATCGAGTTCATGCAGCACAGTTTCAGAATCTGCCGTAAGGTAGACTAAATCATCTTTCCGTTCGGAAAAGGCTTCGACATAAGATTGTTTTTCTTTCTCAATAATCCATTTATCAAACCCAGGGAGCCTCTGCAATTGAGTTTCCATTTCCCCTTGGCATCCAGTCAACCAGAGGTGAGAAGGCACACTGCATCTTCCATTTACAGCATAGCAGTACATAATCTGCAGGGTTTCGACAACAACAAAAAATAAATGATTAATACAATGTAATAAAAGGAAAATCTTTAATCATTTGCTAAAGATTTGAAGACAAACCTGTTGGACGAGGCTGTGGATCTCAGAGTGGGTCATGAGATGAGAGAATTCGAGATCGACGACAATGTTTTGGCCGGTCTTTTTGGCTTGAGTCAGTCTCTGGATTTTCTGGCCTCTTTCCTCGGACCTTTTCCCCATCCTCTCTTTCCTTAATTCTTTCTTGAATCTATGAGTTTAAGCCTTTCGTCTTCGGGTAAGGCAGCCAGTTTGTCCTCCCATTCTTTCCGATTCCCTCTCTTTTTGCTCTTTCATTTACGCTTTCTTCGCCTCGTACTTCTGTTGCTTCAATAGCTTCTTTTGGGCGTTCTTCGAAAGAGTTTGAGGCTGGGGATCGGTAGGGTTTAATGCACTGTTTTGCTCATTCTGCTTTGCCTCCATCGTTGAGTTCATCTGGGGATAATTGGATGTCGCTTCTTCGCCTTTTGTCTGTTTGGATGTAGGGTTTTGCTTATGGGCATTGGGCAGGGCACAAGTGTGTGCAGTTTTTCCCCCTCTAATTAACCCGACGTCGTTTCGCTTATGCAGTTTTTATTTTTTTGAAGTGGGATTTCAATCGGTTTTTCGGCCAGTTTCTAAACAAACCAACCCGATTTAAAACTACAAAAATCGAACCAACTAAATTTTATATAAAATTTGATCTGTTTAAACGTCTAACAGATTAAACGGACCTAATTTTATATATAATCAGTGCGGATGTATGTGGCTGAGAGCAACTGTACACCCATTACTTTAAAAAAAAATTAAATTTAGTTTAATTTGTTAATAAAAATAGAAAAAATTTAAAAAAATTTGTATACCCAAATTTTTTATAATATGAACATTAAAATTATGGATCCTCATTTTTTTTAATTTCTAGATTTGCCATTGTATATTATAATATATGGATAAAGTACATAAATAATTATTCGACTACATGTTGATTTTTTTTGAGTCTTTTAACTATTAAAAAATTAAAAATTATATCTATTATTTTGTTGAGTTATTCAACTATTAAAAATTATAAAATGATAATTTCGACTATTCATATGTTAATAAAATTATAAATTGAGAGTTGATAAAATATGACCCTAGAACCGTTTGAATTGTATAATCGTTTTAGATTCTGAGTTCATATTTTATTATATCTTAATTAGCAAGTTAACGTCCAACTTAGACGAATATAAATTTTAAAAAACGTGTTTAAAGCATATAATTAGTCGGGTGACCATTCTGTAGCTTTTAATAATCGGAGACTGAACAAAGAAACATAGTTGGAGGGTGATTTGTGTACTTTATCTTAAAATATAGTATATTATTATTTTGTTAAAAATATTACTTAGTAAAATCAAATCGAAGATGTCGATTTTTTTTTCCGGTTTAAACCGAGAAACGCAGCCCATTGGCAAGTGAATGCATGCACGACACTCATGCGTTTCATGATTTCGGATCCATTCAAAACAGTAAAAAAAAAAAATGGGATCCTAATTAGACGCAGGAATAAAAATTAGAATGGGTAATAGGTTCGTTCCCTTCTCTTCATTCCTGCCATATTTCTCTTCTTCTTACGACCAGGTTACATTTTCCTTTTCATTTGCTATTTAAAATTAATATATGTATATATATATATATATATATATGATTTTTTTCCTTCTTTTTATTTGATCATTTCGCTTGTGTGTTATTCTTCAGATCAGGAGCGCAAAAATAATGATTTAATGGCGGTTTAGCTTCCTCTTATTTCCATCGTCTGTTATCTAAATATAATTTTGAATTCATTTATTTATCAAGGATTAAAGCATAAGTTTTTAAAATTCGTTTTGCAGAAAAATAAAAATTATAAATAAAAAGGTGCACTGGAACATATATATTTATTAAGGCGGTGATTCTGTTGAATTTGTTTGGCGATGGTTATGGAAGGGCTAGAAAGCAGATCAGAGTTGCGCAAAGAGCTAGAGAGAGAACGCCGTCGTTTAAGGGACCGGCAAAGAAGGCAGTCTATGAGCCATGAGGAGAGAGAGAAGCATCTCGCTCGACGCCGAAGAAACTATCAATTGCGGAGACAGAGAGCTGAAACTGCTCGGTTGTACACCCTTCCACCTCCCGTTCAATTTGAAGAAACCTCGAGCATTTCAACAATTCACTCGCCCTTAAGCAATTCTGTTTCAAGTTCAAGTCCTCAGTTTAATGCTGCTGCTGTTGTGGATCCCAATCATGGTCACGATAGACTAATGCTGGATACGAGAAGCTCCCAGAGTTAGCTTCCACTACTTTACTTCTAGCATTAATGGTTGCCATGTCTCGTGTTCTCACTTGTTCCTTGTAATTTACTCAACAGGTTTGGAAATCCCTGCTCATAAGTTACATATTCTGCCCGGTAAGCTACGCTTGAATCGCATAAAACATCTGGCACGAGCAAAAAATGACACTGTTTGTAACGGGCTTGCAATTGGAGGGATGATGAAGGAATACGGAATTTCCAATTGTAAGTTTACGGATTTCATCTTAGTTTATATTGTTTTGAGGGTAGATGTTAATTATCTAACTGATGAAACCATTTATAAATGAACTGACCAATCACAAATTCCAAATTTATATATAAAAAATCTGTTGTTCAGGTTTAGTATCGAAAAGATTACGACTAAGCCGTATTAAAAGCATCGCTCGGTCAGTAAATCCTATTGTGCAAGAGACTTATAGTCAAAACCATCAAAGCATAACAGAAGGTAAGATTGTATATGTATGTTCTTCAGTCTGTACCATGGCATAAAAAAGTGCATTTTTCTGTGGTAAATGTTTTTGATTTCATGATTCATTCTTTTATGTTGCTGAAATGAATCAGCTTTGGGGAGAAACTCATTTGAGAAGGCATAGTGTATGTATATTTCACAGTAAAAATAATCTCTGATTTGAAACTGATGATTTAAACAAATTATAGCTTTTGATGGTATATGTATATCTGATAAACTAAAAGTTGCTTTTATGATGCAATTTAGTCAGTCCAACAGGTGTATTTTCTGAGAAGAACTGAGAACTTTTTGCTGTTATGTTTTAGGGTGAACATCTCTGCTGTACTCCTGACGACCAACAGCCTTTTCAACGAGTCTTGCACAAATATGTTTCAATTCTTCACCAGATTCTTTCTGTTGAAGATTTTGTAAGATTATTACACTAGTTAATTCTTTCAGAGACTTGCATATAGTTGATATTCTCTTCACGTTGCGTCGCATATCCTACTGGACTGGTTTCATCGGAGCTGTTTGTCTTAAACGGGTGAAATGTTTATATGAAAACTGAAGTCGTCAGCCGAGGAGCATCATGGATGTAGAGGAGTCGATGAAGAAGGTTGAGGGATGTTTAGAATTTAGTTGCATGATGATGAGAAGAGTCATCTATCTGGTAGGACTAGAATTCGACATATCAAGGGGAGGGCTGCTATCTATGCTAACAAATATATTTGTCGTCTTGAGATAGGTTCGGTTTTGTACATTCAATTTCTAATTTTTCATTCACTTGGTTCCTTTACTCCTCCCTCTCCGACAAATATATCTCATCAAATTCCATGATAAAGTTACTCAAAAGTTGAAGAGTTCATAATACTATATAACTAAACAGACGATTAATTCATTAGATTGTAAAAATATGTATGGTATGGAGTTCCAAAATTGTAATTTATCCTAAATTTTCGTATTTTACCCTGTTCATCGCCTAATTTTTGGAAATAAATATCATTTACAATGTGAAAATATATATTATTACTATGTATTTAAATGATTATATTATTAATATTTTATTGATATTATTTCTTATGGTTCAAGTATAATATTATAATTTATTTAGTAGTATAGTTCAATAATTTAGACTTATCCCAACTATTTTCATTGAATTAAATATTAATCCCGAAATATTTTCTCATTATTCCCCTAAAAAAAGCCGTAAAGTATATAACTATTGGGCTTTCGGCTTGGGCCATCTGAAATTTAGGTCTTCGGGTTCCATGAATATATTGGATTTTTATCTCTAATGCAATAGTAAACCCTAGTGAGCGACGGCCACTAAATCCAGGCTATAAATTAACAGCAGAACACCTCCTTCCTTAGTTGTGCAACCCCTTTAGTGAATTCGATTTTAGTCGATCTGCGTTGGGGAAGTTGCATTTTGCTTCAAGTGTTTCATTTTTAATGAAATTCGTACTTTTTTTGTTTTTTTATGATTATTGATTTTTGTTCAGTCTACTGTGAGTCTGTGACGGGGGTTTTAAATCCTATTCTCTAAATCGGGGCAAACCTGATTTTGTTTGTATATCCCTAAGATAACGTCACATAAAAAGCTCATTGATGTAGACGGTGCTTCCTCCGGGGAGTTCCTCCGTCGATGGGTTTTCTCATATTCCATTGCCTTGTGGAGCGGCGTCGCTGCTTTTACCATTTGGGACTTGCCATGAGACGTACATTCCAATTCATTTACTTTTAGATATTAGAAATTCTCACTTTTCAACTTTATCTAAGTTAAAGATGTAGACATTGATTTGGTTTTACTGATTGTAGCATGAATATGACGGGGGATCAAAAATTCCTTTCCTTCGGTTTGGGGCAAATCTATAAATTATATTTGTATATCCCAAAGGAAGCGTCATATATAAACTTCGTAGACGTTGACGGTCCTCCTTCCGGGGAGTTCCTCCGTTGACGGAAGTCTCATATTCCATCGCCTTGTTGAGCGGCGTTGCTGCATTTACTTCTTGGGATTGGCCATGAGAATCACATAGCTTTTTATTTAATATATGAAAGTTATGTTGATGTTTTCTGATTGTGAGCAATGAGGATTGCAATTACAAAATACCATCTTTCGGGACTGAATGGCTTCCAAAGCCTTGCTGTTATTCTGCAATTCTGATGCCCTTTTAAATTACAATTTTTGAGTATGTATTCATTTTTAAATTAAATTTTGAATGTGTAAAGTAATGGCATAATAAAAAAATAGTATATAATGTTTGACAAAATGATTTAACTTTTATTTTTGGATAAAATGTTTCCTAATTGGATGGTAATTATTAGTTAATTAACATTAAATACTTGCTGTTAATGTGACATATTCATATATGATGTCATGTTAGTAAATTTTGTTTTTAAATTAATTAATTATAAATAATTATTTTTTTATTAAGTTAACAACAATCTATTGAAGAATTGAGAATAAATCAAACCCAGGTCTAGTGGAAGAAAGTCATCATTGCGTAACCACCAAGCCCCAACTTCCATCCTTGGTAGATTTTATCAAACAAAGCTTTTTGAACTAAACTGGAATGATTAATCCAAAAAAAAACCTGAACTGGAATGATAATTAATTATATATGTTTGTAAAAATATATTAATCATAATACAAATTAAATTAATTAAATTTATAATATATACATCGAACTAATTTTATTTTAAATATTTATATATTTTAAATATTTGTATTTTTTAAATGTTTTTTATTGATCAACCCTTTATTATTTTTTATTTTTTTAGAAAAGGACGAATATTATTAGTACGAAATTAACTGAGTTGGTTTTGGTGATGGGAATGAATAGATGTTGGTGCACAACCAATCCCTTCTGTCTTTTTTAATTCTTTCTAATAATTATTTTAATAATAAAATTTAAATCTTTCTTAATTACTACAACAAAACTGCTTGTTTTCTATCCAAAGGCTCCTACTACTATTGTTTTTGTTGAGAATAAGATTAGTATATGGTATTATTTTATTACGTAATTTTAAGCATGATCAGGAAAAATATAAATATTTTTAAAATAAAAGTTTAATTTACCTCGTGAGAAATATTTTTAATTTGATTTACTTTGATAAATTAAATCGGATTTGTAATAATTATTTATATGATTCGATTTTCATAACCGATCCATTATCGTTTTTAACTTCAAAAATTTTCTTAACGGTTCCAGATATATAAAATTATGAAAGCTTGATAATAATTTGATTTGGTTTAATTTAAACCGCGTTAGGACGACATTTTAAATTAAGAAAAAAACATGGAAAACAGAGATGAAAATCTTCCGTCGTCTCCTTAACAACTTTCTTGTAAGAAAATGATAGCCAACGCCATTCTCTCCTTCTCTTCTAAATATATATATAAAATACAAAATTTTCATATCCAAATTCATTTTCTCTTGGCCTCTCTGTTCGATACACAAAATCCATTCATTTACACCACAGTCATATTTTATAATTGTTTATACATCTCAATTCCATTGATATTCAAAAACAGTACTTGGAAGAAGAGGAAAAGGAGGGCCTTTCAGCCCTCTCTTCTTGTTATGCTTCCTCTCAGATCTTAGATTCTACTGCTTTCCCTTCTGGGGTTTTCCCTCCACTGGTATATTTAATAAACCACCAAAAGCTTGTGTTTTTTCTTTCGTTTTTATTTATTAATTTCTCATTAAAGTTGATGCTTTGGTTTCTGGGAAACCTGGATATTTGGTCGCTTCATTATCGATCCGTAATCCGTCTTATGTTGTTCGACTGAATCCAACAACATAAATAACCAAGCTTGGGTTGATTTCCGTGTTCCGACAAGCTACGGTTATCTTCGTTAAATCTACATTACGGTGTTTATGTTGGTTTGCATTTTAAGACATGATGTTTAGCTTTTTAAATTGAAGAAAGCAACGTCTCCATTGTATCTGGCTTTATTTGCATGAAATTACGAGTCGAATTCTAGCTCCGATGCTTGCTTTCTTCTCTTGTTGAATATAGTTTGGCTTTCTTCTTATGATATGTTTATTCGTTTTGTGTATGATTGATTTGGAAATCGAATATTGAACTAGATTATATTGATATTGTGTTCAGAACGGAAATGGAGGTTGGCAAGCTATTCATCGGTGGGATTTCTTGTGGCACAAATGAGGACCGTCTTAGAGAGTATTTTGAAACTTTTGGGGAAGTTGTGGAAGCTGTGATAATGAAGGATCGGACCACCGGTCGTGCACGAGGGTTCGGGTTTGTTGTTTTCGCCGACCCGGCTATTGCAGAAAGGGTTGTTATGAAAGAGCATATGATAGATGGTAGAACTGTAAGTTCCTAACCTTTTCCTTTTAATTGGACATATTCTGAAATATACCTTTGCTCAGATATTATGAACTGTATAGCATACGATTCAAAATATTAGAGTTCTCAAGTTTCTCGTCCTGATGTAGTGGATGGCCATTCATACAATCTTTTATTTTTCTTTTTTAATTAAAACAGGACATTAATTTTTGTTAGTTTTTTTACTGCTTATATTGTACATTGTGAGGTTTAATTGGCAGCATGTTGCTATTGAGTATGAACTACTCTAGTAAAATGAATTTGCCTTTCGAGGGCTATTGAAGGTGATAGATTTCCAAACATCAGTCGATGTCAACAGCTTCATTCTGCAGCTTTGATCACCAATCCGAAATCGCTTTATGTGGTAGAATGAATTTTACAAAGACCAAATGCTTGTCTTAGATTATACTCGAATGAAACAGATCTTCTTACAGCTCCATTGGTAATTATTTAGCATCAAAGAGATTTTGTGGGAAAAAAACGTTATTTGTATGATGGAGAAGAACTCCGTCATTATAGATCTTATGTTTTGAGTTCCTCAACTGTAAAATAGTGAAACTTTCTAAGATCCATAAAACAAAATTTAGGGAAAGTTGACCAGCTTTAGGTGGTGGCTTCCTTTAAGATTCAGAGAGTTTGGGTACTTCTGATGCTAGCATTATGTCTTGCGACTGAAATCATGTATAAATCCATTTTCTGCCTGGTTTTTTCTTCAGGTTGAGGCAAAGAAGGCAGTTCCTAGGGAGGACCAGAACTGTCTCAACAAAAACAATATTAGCATTCTTGGATCATCCGGTCTTCCTCACACAAAAAAGATATTTGTGGGAGGCTTAGCATCCACTGTCACTGAGAGTGACTTTAAGAGGTACTTTGATCGGTTTGGTACAATTACTGATGTTGTGATGTATGATCACAACACTCAGAGGCCACGGGGTTTTGGTTTCATAACTTATGATTCAGAAGAAGCTGTGGACAAAGTGTTGCAGAGAACATTTCATGAACTCAACGGGAAAATGGTTGAGGTCAAGCGAGCTGTCCCGAAAGAATCATCTTTAGGTCTAAGTCGGAACCAGTTAGGTGGATATAATCTTGGTCTCAGTAGAGTTAATAGCTTCCTTAACGGTTACATGCAGGGTTATAATACTAATTCAGCTGGAGGTTATGGCGTTAAAATGGAAGGTAGATATAGTCCTGGTAATATTGGTCAGAGTAGATTTTCTCCATCGTGCCCTGCTTACGAAATGGGACTGAATTTTGAGTCAAATTTTAGTCCAATCTTTGGATGGAATTCAAACCTTGGTTCTAACCTGCGCCATGGACGGGGATTGAACACTTTATGTAATGAAAATTTGAACCGGTTTGCCAGTCCTTTTGGGTATGGTGTGGGAAGTGGAGTGCATAGTTATGTCTTAAACTCAGCAAGTCCAAATATTTGGGGAAATGGAAGTCTTACCTATGCTACGAACTCCACAAACTCTAGTCCAATCGTGGGATCTCGAAGTGGGAAAACAGGTGCGAGTTCTCTTGGCAGTATTGGAACATTTTGGGATTCCTCTACTAACACAGGTCTGGGTGGAGGTGCTGCTTCTGCTTACGGCAATCATAGGTACGGAAGTGTAGATTTTGGTGTTGCATCCCAAGGAATAGGCCATGAGAGAACCGGTGATACCCAGGTATCATTCCATGGTGCCTCTAATGGTGGTTATGCTGATTTTTATGAAAATGGTTCACTTCATGGGGATTCTACTTGGAGATCTTTGCCCTTAGACCTTGAGCTTTCTAGTTCTTCCGATTTTGGTCAGAGAAATACAACATCAGATGTTATAGCTAATAACTCTGCTGGTTACATCGGTGGTTATAGAGTTACTAATAGGTAGACAAATGGGGGTAGGACTTGATTTATTTTCTATTTTACTGTTCCATTACTCGAACAAAATAACAGCTCTGCAAATTTGGTCTCATTTCGGTTGCTTACCATTTTTTCTCTCCAGGAATTGCCACATAAGTTGATGATGATATGGTAAGATAGGATATTTGTATGGTGGAGCGGGTGAATGACCGGATTTCGAGATTTTCCCCAGCGAGACATTTCGGTTCCACATGAAAATATAAAGCTAATCCGGTTTACCTGTCGTGATCGACCTGTTATAGAGACAGTTGCATAGGATTCATGTACGTGCTGGAAGTTCTCTTTTTCATTTTCTAGCTCATGTTTTTTCCTTTATTGGGATCAATTAAATGTAAAATCAAATTATGGGTATACGCTGATTACTGTATTTATTTTTTAATTTCTCTTTCATTTGGCCTTTAGAGTGGTTCATGTACATTGTAGATCCTTGTGAGATGTTCATTCGGTTTGCATTTACATTGTGAAACTGCGTGTGGGATACTCATTTATGATCCCCATAGAATAATAAGAATCTGCAGAAATGGTGATATCATTGTGAACACAAGAGTTGGCATGAACCATCAAGTCCAATTGCACCCGATGAGGCATCTTTAATTAATAACAGAACTCTCTGGTCATTTTGCTCTCTTATCTTCTTATCCTTTCCTCGTAGTCATTTTCTTCGCCTTCAACTCCCATAAATAGGGATTTCTAGTCACCGGCTGAGTGGTCCTTCATATTTTCAAAGGTTAACTACTTCAAATACTACTTATCTTTGAGTTCGGACTCGTTTATGTCACTGACGTTTTAATTTTATCAATTTTAATACTGACATTTATTTTTAACTGCAGTTATGTCACCCACCATTAATCTATTAACAGGACGATAATATAACATTTGTTTACCGTAAAAGTGATGATTTGGACGATTTCATTAAACGACATAGTTTTATTAAATGACTATTTTTATTCGTTAAACGATGTAATTTTATTAAATGACTATTTTTAAACCCCAAATGACTTGGTATTATTCCTCAAACCCATTTAATTATTCATTAATCTTAGAAAATTGCTTTCTTGGCTTCATCATCTTCTGTCCAAACCCGTGTTTCCCAAACATTTTCCAATAACAGGCAATATGCCAACCTCATTGATTTTCCAGCGTCGAATAGTTAGGGTTGTTTCTTTAACCTCTAAATCTCTAATTTCACCCTTAAAAACAACCCCATTCTTTTCAAAAGATTCATTTTTTCATATTATTCTCTGAAAGAGCCTGGGGTTCATCAACTGAATCAGCTCCTACACCTATATTTCTGCTCTCAATCTTCACGAATTCCAAATTATTCTCTTTACATTCTTAAATGGAGCCACTTTCTGCACTTGAGGGCTTGTCTTCTTGGTGAAGGGCCTCAGTTTCAGTAGCATTTTTGGCTTGTTCAAGCATGGCGACTTCTTTCCTAGCAGCAGGGTCTTATAATGAGCTTCAAAGAATGCTTTCTTTTGAGCCACTGAACCAGGCCTCGCAAATCTCTTCGTTTCTTCAACATATTTGTTATGAGAAAACGCCGACCACTTCTCCTAAGACAGATTCTGACATGAATCTCTCTAATTATATCGACTGTCCAAGACCATGAATCGGGTTTCCCTAACAAAACCATTTCTGAAAATTTGGGTTGCTTGAATTTTACAGCAGGTTCCAACACAAAATTTAGAGTTAGTGTTGCTTGAGTTTTCCAGGTTCCAACACACAAATTATTCATTTCGAGGTTTTTAAAGTTGGGTTGCTTGAATTTTTCAGGTTCATAGAGTTTTGAACACTGTCGGCGGGGAATGAAACAAATGATTTTGTGATTTAAGGTTAGGGTTGCAAATTGATATTTTTTTATCAAATAAAATATTATTAAAATGTCTACAAAGATCTCACTTTTATTAAAGGGTTTTAATGAAATCATTTAGATGTTGTGTCATCGTTAATAAATTAACAGTATAGTGATATAATTACAGTTAAATATAAACGTAAATATTAAAATTAATAAAATTAAAATGTCAATAATAAAAACGTGTTCGAGCTCAAAGTGAATGATATTAGAAATACTTAATCTTATTTTTTATTAATAATATATTTTCATATCTTAAAATTTTATAAAGTTGATTGTTAATATAATTTTTGAATCCCTGCGAGTGTTATTACTGATCCAAAATTTCAAAACAGTAGCAAAGTTGTCGCTTGAACATAACGACGTCAAGTGTTGTTACGATAAGGGCAGTTTCGGGATTGTGGGAATTAAGGTTGAAGCCTTCAAAAAATTGTCCTCATCAATGTTATTAAAATCGGATCGGATCGATCAGTTCGATCGATTGTCTGTCTAGTCCAGTCATCTTTCAAAATTAGTTTTACAATGAATTCTTAAAGAATTGGTTGAAAATCGACAAAATCAGTGTGAATCAATGGTTCAAGCGGTTCTATTTTTAAAAAAAATTAAATCAAACGACGTCGTTTGTTATGATTTTTTTCAACCCCAAATTAAACCAGTTGGTCAATCATAAAAAATAATGAAGATTAATCTTTGTTTGTTTATTTTAGTTATATAATTATATTTATTATTTAATATGTTTTACACTTTTTTTAATTATTAAGTATTATTTGAGAATTTAAATTTAACTTTGTATCTATTTATCATATTGTTAGGTGATGAAGATCTTGATGCTGTGGACTTTTAAGTTCAAAGTGATGCTATGAAATTTCAAATACAAAGTGGTGATGGCGGTGGCAGTTCAACTAATGAAGAAATTTTTCTCAATATTTTGGAATTTGAAAGAATCAATTTTAATTAATATTATGATAATTGATACTTGTATTAATTATGTACTTCTTTTATTTAGTTGTTGATGAATTTAATTAGGTATTAACCTTAAATGTTATGTTGTAGTTGATTTAAATCATTTTGTTTCACTTGATATTATGGTATTTAACTTATATATGTTATAACTTGTGATATTTTTATATCTTTTAATATTGTGAACTTAAAAAAAATATTGTTATATATATATTGCTTTGAATATTATGTAAAATTAAAAAAAAATTATTTTATATAAATCGGTTCAACTGCGATTTAACTACGGTTAAATCAGTAAATTAGTATCTTCATCGGTTTAATGTTCGATTCGATTTTAAAAACTTCTAAGGCAATGTTTGGTTATCGAGATTCTCAAAGTCGTCGTTTGTTCAACGAGAGGACAATGAAGACGTGAGGGTACCAAACACGTCTCAGTAAATTTGATGGATGGGTTTAACGTTGGGAAGATATTACACGAGGATATTTATAAGTGATTCAAAAAGGGAAGAAAACGAAAAGAGAGGAGCAAAATAGATCGAGTGTTATCTTCTTTCTCTAATCACTAATGACGGATGAAACGAGAGCCTTAGCTCACTACTCACATTTCTTCAAAATTGCTTCTTCTCTTTGATCCCTCTGTTTCTTTCTTCTCTTTACTTTTACTTCTTTCTAGAGCTCTATAATTATTGTTGCTATGGCTTCTGCTGCTAACTGTGCAGTATATTTTAGCAGCAACACTATCTGCCTTACTGTATTTGAAATCAAAAACCATTATTTGCCCGCTACCTTCGTTAGCAGACTACCCAACACTTTTGGGAGAAGGTAGGATTGTTCAATCTGATTTATTTTTTCTGTTTTAAGTCTCTGGGTGTCGAAATTGTCGATTGGGAAATTCTATATGGTGTTTCTTATGTTGCTTGAAGTGAAACAATTTAATGCATTTCCATACCCATTGGGATTGGGTAAGCTCATTTGGATCATGTAGTTAATTTAATCATCTTATCCATATTTAATACAACTTGAGGGCGTCTTTAGGACAAAAATGGGTTATTATGTTGGGAATCGAATTAGAAATGACATTTTAAGGCACGTTTTACTCTTTAGTTATGTCTGAATATGATTATAGTGTTAAACTTGCTTGTCCATTATAGTTTTGGCTATATTTTTGCTTCCAAACTTTCTTCAATTGCGCTACTGTTATTGTTCAGCTGGCTTTGCACTTGCTAAAATTATATATATGTATATCTTGACTTTTGATCATAAGTCATAACAGTGTCATCTTGACATCATCGTCGACCGGAATCAATCCACGGACAGCACCATCGGCCACTGCTGTAGAGGTATGGAAGAGCAGCTATATATTTGGTTGATTGTTTGCCATCTGTTAACTGACTAATGTTCCGTTTCTTGTGGTTTTATGTTTGAAGAATGATGGGAGTTTGCTTGATACAGTTCCAACCCCCAAAGTTATAATTGATCAGGACTCTGACCCGGATGCCACTGTCGTGGAAATAACCTTTGGTGATCGCCTCGGAGCACTTCTTGATACCGTATAAATCCAATTTTACTTGACCGATTTAGAACGTCTATATTTTGCTTTCCAAGTACAATTTTCCATATACAATTTTGTATTCTCTCTTGTGATACGATTTTCTTTTTCTGTGTGTATAATTTTAACTATGAGCTAGTGAACTGCAGATGAATGCACTTAAAAGTCTTGGGTTGAATGTTACTAAGGCAAACGTCTATCTGGATTCATCTGGGAAGCACAACAAGTTTTCCATAACTAAGGCGTAAGTCGTATGCCTTTTAAGCTATTTAGCAGTTTGTATTTTCATGGTAAATTTTTCTATTTGAAAAAGTTAATGAGTTTAAGTTTCTTCTTGTTTGTGGTTAATGATCACCTAATTCAGCATAAGTCGGTTTTTCGACTAGGATTATTTTCAAGTGAGATTGAAACTACCCAATATATCTCTAGAGACATCAGAAGTGATTAAATCTGTATTTCCGCATACTCCTAAGTAACTCAAATGTGACAATGGTACAATAAACATAACAGATTATATCTTTCATGCACTGCATGATTATCAAACATATACATTTTATAAGTTTTGAATCTTCAAAGTTTAGATCACCATTTTTCTTGAATTATTGAAAAGGAGTAATTCTTCATTTCCCTTGAACTAAATTCTTATTATTGTGGCAAATCAATCAGAATCTCTTTGTCTGATTCTTGATGTAAATACACCCGGATGGGTTAATGCCAAAATTGAATGTCCCGCCTCGGTTGTTGTAAAAGCTATTTTAGGTGCAGTTTTACTAATACAGTGACAGCGTGTTTCTACAGTAGTACCGGAAGGAAAGTTGAAGAACCAGAACTGCTCGAGGCAATACGATTAACGATTATAAACAACTTACTTCAGTATCATCCGGTAATCATCTCTTGTTTTTTCTTATCCCTGGTGAAGAATCTCCTAGTGAAATCTATTGCCATGTTATGTGGTCCAG